TTGTCAAACTTGACAATGGAATTTATGTTCAAGGTCGTCGCGGATGACAGTCGTACAAAGTATAAGACGTTTTTCTGTCGAATTTTCGTACCTGCAAATGAATTGGTTTATAATTAGAACTTTTTAAAAATGATAAAATTAACGGTGCAAATTTGATCATGCTTATATACATGTAACAATATTTTTCATTTATGAACATGGTATCTTAGGTAATTGGGACTAGTAGTATTAGCTCTGGTATACAGTATGCACCAGATATTCATATATAAATAACAAAAAGTGAATTATAAAAAAAAATCAACATGTTTAACACTTTTCTAATTCAAAGCGGTTTGTATATAATTATGCTCTCATTTATTGATATTGCGACAAAATACACAACGTTTAAAAATACCATTGAAGTTTATCGAAATAACCTTCCAATCCGAGAAATTTGTGAAGGGTTGGTATAGAAATACGGCCATTCCTAAACTTCTCCCTTCATGCAGTGAAACGTTTGCTTAAGTGGTGTGTTTGTTTGGCAGTGTGGGGTTTATGAATAAGCAGCATGTTTGGTCAGAATAGGGTCGTTAATTCCGATGACTCGCCAGTATAGGTAGATAGTCACGTTCTGCACACGTTAAAAAAACCTTTCAACAACACTCTGGTGTGGTCTTTTATTTTAAAACTAACATATTTGCCCCTATCCAACAAACCCTTTTTCCAGTGGCAATCCAAATTTCCCGTCCTTCGTCCTAGTGGACCTACCACGCAGATCCTATCTTTTGGAATTAATTGCACATTTGTTCTCGACCTGAATATGCATGAACTATTTTCCACTGGACTTAAAAAAAACCATAGTAATATAGTATAAGTCTAACTTGTCAAAGTGGAATGACATAAATCAGGCTTTTTGGAGTTTGAGGTAATCATTTTTTTTTAAATTTTAGACCGATAATTTATAGGGAAGAACAGAAAGAAATCGTGCCGTCTTACATTCTATAATAACAGTTGCTGTACTTCATTATAAGGTTTCTTACATAATAGGCATAAACAGTGCAGGAAACTTCACGTAAAATGCCGAGAAAAACTGTCAAGGACACAAATTGTTTATGTATGAATAGAGCCAAATAACCGCTGACTTCTTCTAATCCTATAATATATGACTTCGCATTATATTTCCGTTATTTAACGTTTTCATGCTGATATTTTCATTTTTCATTTTTTTTAATGCGGCACATTGATAATAAAAACAAAAAATAGAAAATAAAAAATAAAGAATAGCAACATAAGTAAAAAAAAAAAAATCAGAAATAAACAGAAATAGATAATAATGCCCCAGGTCATATACTATAGGACTATGACCTCTTCCTATTTAACGAGGTTAAAATATATTTTGATAACTGAATTCTTCCCTTTTAATCTCGATAGCAAAAAATGAATAATAAGAAATAGTAGCATATGGACATACCTATATTAAAAATAAAACCTGTCAATAAAAAGACCTCAAAAAGGTCAGGGCTGGTATGCATAAAACCACTTAAGTTAAGATATCCAATCGTAGTACTAATTTATCGTAGGACATGTAGAACAAATCTGAACTTAAGTAGTTTTATGCATATCAGCCCTGTTAATAATTTTGAATATTACATATCGCTAAAATGATTCTATCCCCACACAAAAACATCCTATAACCCAAAATAAAAACAACAAAGAACCAGCTGGAGAATTCATTATTCAAACAAGTACTTTAACATGTTCAATTGTAAAAAAAAACAACATAAAAAAATATTATGAAATTATAACTAACCTTTTTCGACTATCTCAGTCACATTGTCTAATCTTTCTTTCAGAATTTTAACTTCGTTTCGGAGGAAAGTAAAATCTTGCTCCTCGTTTGTAGAATTTTGAATTGATTTAGTGGATATTCCTAACCAGAAAGAGGAAAACAGAAGTGCCTTAAAGAGAAGCATTTTCCGTGTGCCGTTTAACAGAGACAACTTTCAACAAACAATATTACTTGTACTTCTAAATAGTTGTATTAGGCAGCTGTGTTTTGTGCAAGTATGCGGAATAAATAAGTATTTTATACGAATTACACTTAGCTCAAGTAGTGTGTGCAAATCTTTAATGTTTTATTGCTATCTTTCTAAGGTATTTCTTCTACTAACGATTTTTGATTGTCATCTTGGAATCGGTTGCCACTTTTTATGAAAAAAAACTTAAATCAAAGGATTTATTCTTGTAATACGGAAATCACGCATTTCAACACTCTTATATTGGCTGTTTTTCTACTTTCAGATTTCTGTACAATAACACCTTAAACAGTACAGACAAATAGGATCATGCGATCAAGGATTTGAACAACTATAGAATACGTGTGTACACAAAAGAGAGGCAAAAGATACCAAAGGGACATAAGTCGAGAAAAAATGCAAACAACAATATATAAAGCACAACATAGAAAATCTAAGACTGAGCAACACGAACCATACCAAAAACCGGGGTTGATCTCAGGTGCTCCGGAAGGGTAGTCTAAGTACAGATAAGAAAGGAAATGAGGCATTTTGAGTGATGTTTCAAACTGTAAATAATGATAGTAAGTTTGTGATCTCCATTGAATGGTCCTTTGTCCTCCACATTGGTGGTTTCAGAACTGTTAATATCACAATCTCCTATAAAAGACGGAGTTGTACGTTTTACAGCAATGTTAGTTCTCAAGTGTGTCCCTTTTCAACTGCGTTTGAGTAAATGTAGAACTATAATGCCAAAATAAAACTAAAACACTCTTAAACAATAAGAAGTGAAATTGTTCCCAACGACTACCATGTGTGTTTAAACAGGAATCAACAAATTTCTTTTTGTTTCCGTCAAACCTTCATTAAAATATTAAATTTCCTTTCTTATCGTTTTCCATTTACTAATACCAACTTATTTCTCTTTATAGCTTTATCCATCCTAGATTACTAGATCACTTTTACATGCTTAATTCAAACTATGCATAAACATGATATTTGGCAGACAGTTAATTTAATGTTTACCAATTGTGCATGGTAAATTTAAAACGCAAAAACAAGAACAGAACATACATGTAACACAACTTTGAAGGTTATCTTTAAACGAAGAGTTATGTTTATCAATAAGATTAACCTTTAGTTAAATATTTACTGGTAATTACTAAATTAGATTTTCACCACAGTGCAGCATGATTACAGCCTGTCAACAATGACATTTTAATCTTGATCTCTTCGATTTCCTATATATCTACTAAGGACAAGCTGTAACAACAAGCCTTAGGGTTAAATTTGTGAAAAAACAATACCTTTAATTCATGGTTACAATGTACCATTTTACCAAATGAACAACATTGTGTACATTTCCCAATTCTGAAAATTGTTTTGTTATATCGTAATATTGTTTTAACCATTTAGAAAGTTCGGTATTGTAGATTGCTGATGATGGAAGTTTTTAACGACTTTGACTGGCTATACATTCCTCGCACGGTCGGTAGTAGATTGCTAAATGTATACACAACTTTTCTAGACTCGTGTGATTTAGAGCTTGACAAACTGTATAGACACATGTTTATTGTTAATTGCAAACACTTAACATGATGACCTCTAGATGTCTTTATGATTATTAGTGTCGTTTGGTTGCTGTCTCATGCGTACTCTTTAAGGTAGTACCAAACACCTTGACTAAAATTAATTTGGCTCGTTTAATTTTCTTAAAATTGTGACAAAATATTACCTTTGACCCTTAGACAAAAATATAAAAATTTCAAAAAACTTGAACCACACACTTTATCGGAAAAAATTCATTGGATATATAGCAGTTTGACAAACACTAATTTTGATCATTAAGAAGCTTAATATTTCCTTAACAATAGAACGTAATTAAAACGTTCAGCTGAATTTTACAGAGTTATCTCCCTGTAGTGTTATGTACCACCTTAAATTTCCTTTTAATCATATTTCATAAAACACTACAATATCTTATCAATGTTCTATTTGTTTTGACATTTATCTCATTGTAAAGACTGCATGTTGCCCTCTAGATGTCTTCTCTTTGTTTGAATCTTTGGAATGCCGTGTCATTGACGACTACCAAACAATAGATATAAGAAAATGTGGTATGAGTGCCAATGAGATAACTCTCCATCCAAGTCAAAATTTATAAAAGTAAACCATTATAGGTCACAGTACGGTCTTCAACACGGAGTCTTGGCTCACACTGAACAGTAAGCTACAAAGGGCCCCAAAACATTACTAGTGTAAAATCATTCAAACTCCATTTATTCATATGGTAGATGTTTATTTAAAATCATCACTTTTTGTCTGTTTTTCGGAATCCTCCATTATTACTCATGTATTTTTAATGCCATTAAACATTTTGCCAACTTACCCCTACTTTTCTTTTCATAATTTTGTGACATATAGTTTTAAAAGCCATTTTTTAAATTTCTTAAATTTTCATTATTTTTGTAAGTACATGTAAGTAAGTACTTAATGGTTTATATCTAAAAAAAGCAAGACACGGTTTTTAGTTCCATATTATTTACATACTTTCAATTATAAGTCTTTGATAAAGCTTGTTGTTTTGAAACAGAGCAGCCAATATCCTTAAGAAATTGTAAAATTAGGGAAAATTTCGAAACTTTACAGTATTATGTATCATACGCGGTAATCTTGATCTAAATAATTTGTTGGTTTAATTGTAAATTCAATTAAAAGACTTTATTGTAGAGATTAACCCCGTTCTTTCACTCTTGTACAACGCGTTTAAGAATACCATTGATCATCCAGTATCCGATTACAGATCAGTAACTTGTATTTTTCGCTAGTTGTTGCGCATGTAATTGCGATTGAGTTTAATTGTTTTGCAGATATTCTACCACATAGAAATAAGGAGATGTGGTATGCTTGACAATATGACAACTAGCTACCAGAGACTAAATGACGTAATAGATGTAAGCTATATGTTATCGTAGGTAAGCTGTAATTTGCAAGGAACACATAACAGACCATACAATTGTTTAATAAAATCTCTAGAATGAGGGACCAATAATGCTATATTATTGTATTATAGATTATTTACCAAAAAAATGCACTTTCAATGGTATTTTAAAACTCAGTGTAAGTGTTGCTCTTGGTTATATCAAATTAGAAAATAAAATTGTTTTTGCATATATATATAATCATTTATTTGTAAACAGACTCCTGGAGGGTCAGCCACATATACCTGTAAAATAATAAACATATCTATCAATTAGTTTTCAATAATTTTTTATTTACTTATTGATTTTAGCAGTCGTGTACATTGTCATTCGTAAATTTTAACTGATGTGTTGTTTTATATGATGCTAGTTATTGTTTAAAATACACATTAACAAAGTTTAAGCCATGCCCAAGAAACAAATCATACATGGTTTATTTACTATGGAATTATTTTTTTTAAAGTTTTATGACGTAAATTATATAACTTTAAAATGACGAAAAGAAATTCATTTTAAGAAATGTAAACGTAGATTCAACAGTGTTTGGTTCGTGTAAATGTATAGGCAGTGCTTGAATATGTTCTGTAATAGAGAGGTTTCAAACACACAATCTGTTTATAATTCAAAACACATATTTGTCCTGCTGTCAAAATCGCAAGGCTTTGACGATACAAATGAAAATTATTCATGAAATGATGACGATGATATGAAGTAATACGTACCAAATATTTGCTAAATTCAATCTATAAGTTTAATCGCTGTTGTTGTTTCTGAACAAAAGGAAGGCAAGGAACAGAAGTCCAACTGAAAAAGATAGACATATGCATACAGTTAGGTTCAAACTGAACGTTTCGGTATATTACGCATACAGTTAGGTACACTCTCAATGTTCCGAAAAATTCAATGTTCCACAGAAGCAAAATCTAGATGGTACATTTTTCATCTAAACTTGACTTGAAGATTTCAGGCAATGTTGATCACCGTAATTTTACGATTCAAGAAACGACCATATATAAGAACATTATATAAATACAGCAAATAATCAAAACTCGACTGTCTTACTAAATTTTGCAAAAACAATACTCAAGATGTACGGAAACAATTTAATGAAATGTTAAGTTTTAAAGTTCAAGATAATTTTACCATAAATGAAATACTGAAATGTCTTTTGAAGTCAATTTGAAATACATTAAAAATATTAGAAAGATTACTATTTTTAATTTGGCCCGGTATGATTGCTAATGAGACAACTATCAATCAGAGACCAAATGACGTAGATGTAAGTTTAGTAAACATAGTTATTAGTACTTACAAAGTCCAAGTCCTTCGTTTCCACCGAGGATACCGCCATCCATACCGCCAACACCACCAACTCCGGCCATACCGGCTCCACCAGCAAATGGAGATGCGACTGGGATTGGTTGAGGAACGTACTGAACTATTTCGTCAACATATCCTCCCTTTTTACCATAGCCAGAGTATCCTTTTTTGCCGTAACCAGAATGTCCGCCATAACCGGAGTATCCTTTTTGGCCGTAACCAGAATATCCACCATAACCGGAGTACCCCTTGGAGCCGTAACCAGAGTATCCCTTTTGTCCGTATCCAGAATAACCGCCATGTCCGCCATATCCACCCATGCCTCCGCCATATCCACCCATGCTTCCACCATATCCTCCGATACCACCGTAACTTCCGGTGTATCCACCGACTCCACCGTAGCTACCGGAATATCCGGAACCACCGTAATAATCGTCAGCAAGGATTCCCTTCATGCCACAAAGGCAGACCAAGATAGCAACAGTTGTGATGGCAAGTTTCATTCTGAAACATGAGAAAATATCATTTAAATGAAACTTACAATTTTGAATGCATTTATAGCCAGCTATATATCATCTTATCAGAAATGTATCTGAATATATCAAGTTACGATTATAATTTGGATTATATAGGATCATGATTTTCAAGTTTGATGGGTTTTTTCAAAGTCTTTTAGAATATTTTTCAAAAGTAAGAATAAAATAATTCATGTCTTATCGTCCTTTTATTATATACTAATCAAATTTGGTTGACTGAACGACATATGGTTAGACATCAAGTAGATCTCTCTAAAGTATTTTCAAAAGTGATGAATTACATAAGTTTGTTTTTATTTTTTATTGCTTTTTTTTAACAAAGAGTAGTAACCGAAAGGAACAGTGTACAAATTAAAAGAAATTCTTTCTTTCAATGGATACTAGGTTTATTTTGAAAATAAGATCTTCCCTGTATTGTACATTAAAAAGAGACCAAACGATAGCAACGTAACAATGTATCCTTGATAGTATAACAATATAAAAATTATTTAATTTTGAATGTAACACGTCTTCTGATTGGCTGAAAGTGTTTTGTCTATCAGCTCATAGACATAATTTTGTCATGTGACCGTGACGTCACCAACGTTTTTTTTCAAAATTTACTCCCTAAAAATGGAATTTAGAATTTGATTTTTAAGGAATGACTGTAATATTTTTTCTTTCTATTCGAAATAACCTAAAAAAATGTAGTGCACACTTTTAAATAACTCGCTACGCGGGTTATTCGGTGTTCACCACATTTTTTATGTTATTTCTTCATAGACAGAAAAAATATTACAGTCATTCCTTAAACAAGCAGATGTCTTGGAACGGTTCCGATATCTATGGATTTATTAATCTAGTCTGTTTCAAATAAGAACGATCCCAAAAAGAAAAAGCTTTTTTAAAATTTAATTGTTTTACACATTATTTTAAAGAAGAAAAAAGACAACTATATTAAAAAAAATAATGATAATAAAAAAAAAACAGCACGCATCTTAATCCGCAAAGAGTGATAAAAAAAAACCGCAACAGATAAAAGTATGTTTTAATAAGTGATTAACTATTGACTATGATTTTTTTTTAATTTTAACAGAACTACATGTATTAGTAAAACATTTTTTTTTTGCCAATAAAAAAAAGAAAGAGTTAATACTATACCTGACTTCGTGTTTGTGTCAAACCAGGAGTGATTCTACTATTAAATGTCCAAACTTTTATACCTAAACTAAAACTTCCTGTTAGTTCAGATTATGTATACCATTACAATTCATATGTAATTCTAAAACACATGTCGGCATGGGAAAGCTAGTTATCCATACACATGTTATGAATGGAGGTAATATTATCTAATAATAATTACACATTTTTTTTTACAATTTTGCAATATTTAGGAACACTTTTTAATGTTGAAATATGAAAGAAACACCACTTCTTATTCTATTATTTGTTGTGTAAAGCCTAGTTATAAGACTTTTGAGATACAAATATTTATGCACTGTACAATATTTTATGACATTATATATGTACATACTCTAAAAAAAAACTTGTTATTTTAGGTTCATGAATGGAATTTTGTTCAATATATAAAAATGAATGCTAGTACCGACCAGTTAATATGAAACATAGTTTATTTCTCACCAATTTAGTTAGGATATTACCAATTACAGTTAATATTCATCAGTTATGTGTTAATGATTTGGATTTTTTTTTAAAGTTATTACCAGAATGTATAATGCATAGGGAAAGAGGGTTATTGACGTATGTAATTGTTTATTGCATTATTGTTATTATCTGTCATATCAGGAATTGTATTAATCAAAGAAATAAATTATTCCATCTTTGAAAAATAAGGCATTATAATTTTGGCAACATTATTTCGAAACTTGCAATTTGTTCGTGTTGATTTAGTAGGCATAACTTTGTTATATTCCCCCCCCCCTTTATTTTTTTTAGTTTATTGCCTTTTAAAACCTTGTCGATGAAACACAAACAAAGATGTATATTTTGTAAATTAATTGACATTCTTTGCCGGCGGCTTAAAACAATCAAGCAAGAACACTTGTACTGTAGTTTGTCACAACTATAAACAGACCGAAAATCGACTCTCTCACTAAGAATAAATTACATAACATAAGCAACACAGATCTTTAAAAAAAAAGAAATAAAATCGAAATGAGAGATGTATGCTTATGGAATTTTTTGTTTGTTTGTATATATACTGAATTTACGTTATTGTAACAAATAAGCTAGCATGGCATGTATGAACAAACTTTAAGGTATAGAGAAAGACATATTCACAGCAAAGAAATTTATTTTTTTTTATCTCTAAAGATAAATGGGATATTTTATTAGGTTAAACATAAATAATTATGTAATAACCAAAGAGAGAATGTTTAAGTTATTTCGTTCTTTGATAAATCTATGGTGATTAAATCAAATCAAACAAACAAACAAAACAACAAGAATGATTATTCATCATTTAGTCTCTAATGGGGCACCAGGAGTTCCAGTATTTGTCACTTTCATCTTCATAGAGGTTTTTAAGTGAAATGTATTTTTCTAAATTGATATAAGAAGATGTGGTATGAGTGCCAATGAGACAACTCTCCATCCAAGTCAAAATTTATAAAAGTAAACCATTATAGGTCAAAGTACGGTCTTCAACACGGAGCCTTGGCTCACACCGAACAGCAAGCTATAAAGGGCTCCAAAAATTACTAGTGTAAAACCATTTATACGGGAAAACCAACGGTCTAATCTATATAAAAAACGAGAAACGAGAAACACTTATGAACCACATCAACAAACGACAACTACTGAACATCAGATTCCTGACTTAGGACAGGTGCAAACAATTGCAGCGGGTTTAAGCGTTTTAATGGTACCAAACCTTCACCCTTTTTCTGAAACAATAGTGTAACATCACAACATAGAAAGACACATTTAAAGTCAACTTTTCCTTTAAATAAATATTTTGAGGCATTTAAAATTGACAAATTGAATACAATTTTGTTCGGTAGTTATATTGTTTTGTAAGCCAAATACCCTTATTTTTTTTAAGTTCAATTTGATATTTTCGAAGTTACTAAATAAAATAATTATGGGAATATATACATATAAATACATTTATTCTGCATTTATAGAGTTTACTTTAGTGATTAACTAGTAATTTGTTTTGTATTCTATCTCGGAAATTTCCAAAGAAAGATGTTTGACTCGTCGACTTTTCCCAGTTTATACTGACAATGCTGTCTGCCATACGGATAAACTAAGTAATGTATTTACACGTAGGTCATCTGGACAAGATATGATAATATCAAGTGAAAGGCTGTCAGATATTTCAATCCCAATTTTTAATTTCTTAAAATATTCAAATAGCTGAAACCTGATTTGGATTAGTTTTGTTCTCAATGAAATTTATGACGACCTTTTGAATATTGATACATTGTACATTAATTCTAAAGTGAATATTTGGGATCGAATTTAATGAGGTTGATATTCAAGTATGTGCCAAAATAGAAAAAAAAATAAATACTAGTAAGTTGGAGACCAATCAAACTTCGATTAGATGGGACATGTCTTCAGAATGAATTACATGTAGGATTAAACAGTTACGATTGAAAAGTGAAACTCATTAACCCGAACTCCTACGTCGTTCGGATCAAGCAGGGTCACCCTAGTCATGCAGATTAAATGACATATACCAACTTGCTTGGTCAATAACTATTACATATTTTGTTATTGCTGGTTTTGTATGATTGCTTTCTCATTGATATATATCCAAGATCTCGTTCTATAATTGAAAGCAGCATTAATTGACTGCGATTAATTTTGGTAACCGATGAGATATTCAAATCTGTCCTTTACTAATATCGACAACGAGATCTCGTTCTATAATTGAAAGCAGCATTGACTGCAATTAATACTGGTAACCGATGATATATTCAAATCAGTCCTTTACTAATATATCTGCAATTATATAGGTAGCACCAGAGACATATTATACACATGTATATATGTCTCTGGTAGCACTGAAAATTATGCTAAAGCGATCAGTGTCATCAGAAAATATAAATAGGTATGAAGAACAAGATATGAATAAGACTGAACCTGAGACGAAAGGGCACAAACTCTGCAATCAGATGCATATATATTGAATATTTACCTTTAAAGTTGTGTCGTGAATGAAACAAATCAATGTTTATTTTCTACTTATTTTGGACAATTTTTGGTTTTATAAAGTTATCGAATTTTGAATTTTGTCAAACCGTACTCGATACTATCTTAATTGGTTTGTTGATAATTAACCCTCATGGATAGTCAAGGTCATTAAACACCCCCTAGTAGTTGTTAATAATAAATTTAAGCATGTTCTGATAAAACACGGACAACAAAATATGAATGTCAAATGTATGGACTACACATCTCAATGTTAAGAACTGGCTTAGCATCAAGGTTTCCCGATAGCCTATGCCAAATCCTGACAAATGAGACTTTTCAACGGTTTTTTCACTAAAGCCTGTTCTGTCGCTCTATTAAATACACTTCTCTCATCATATTTATCCTGAATATCTTTATTCCAAACCGCTTTGGTGGTCTCGTTGTAGTAAGCTGGCCTCGAGTGCGGTTCTTCACGTCTTGGTCAAATAAAAAGCTTGAAAATTAGTATATTTACTGCTTCTCCGCTAAGCAAGTTGCATTAAGGAGTAAGAGCAAAGACTAGAATGATTGGAGTCAGGATAACGTGATTGGAGTCAGGATAACGTGATTGGAGTCAGGAAAACGTGATTGGAGTCAAGATAACGTGATTGGATTCAGGATAACGTGATTGGAGTCAGGATAACGTGATTGGAGTCAGAATAACGTGACAGGATAACGTGATTGGAGTCAGGATAACGTGTCCGTGTATGGTGATATATCTCTTTGTGGATTGTTTGTTAATTTGTTAAAAAGAAAATACATGTTCAAAAATCCGGCCCACTGGACGTAAACTGGAATCCATCCACCATCAATCTTAATTTTTAAATATTCATCGGAGTGTCAATCTTTCACAGTTATATCTAATTAGCGGCCATTTACAAGTATGCCTCGTAGAACTTAAATTGATTGCTTACAAATTGCTACCAAAAGAGTGTAAGACAAAAAGCTATATTTAATATCAGAGATTAACAAGAAGCCAAGACCAATAAAGATCTAAGCGAACAACAGTAAAAAATATATTACTTAGTAGTTACATATTTCTATAGTTATTGAAATGTTCTACAAGGATCACTTTAGGGAACGTAGCAAGCACAATATAAAGAAATAAATTACCATATAAACAAAATTATGAAAATAACAATAAAATTTCTTTAAGATGGTTCAGTTCAAAGCTTTTTTCTTTGTCAAAAATGTTGTTTTCTGAAGCTTAAAAAGATCACAATACTTTATTTACATCTTATTATACATATAGTATATATATTTGTTTAGGGGCCAGCTGAAGGACGCCTCCGGGTGCGGGAACTTCTCGCTGCATTGAAGACCTGTTGGTGACCTTCTGCTGTTGTCTGTTCTATGGTCGGGTTGTTGTCTCTTTGACACATTCCCCATTTCCATTCTCAATTTTATATAGTCTTTGATTTTGAAGATTCTTTTTGTTGTTATGTGTTTTTGGATTTTTGCCTCACTAACATTGTTTCGTATGTATACAAATACACCGGTTCGTTTTGTCGACCATTAAAGCACAGTGCAGTGCAAAGCATTTGAACTCATAGGAAATCATACCATATCTCCGTATTTTATAAGCTATTTAGAAAAATCTCTCATGAGGAATTTGAAAAAAACAACAACATTGTGTGCCTTTATTTCTGACTGTATCATATGTATGCTTGAGACCTCATACCGACATTTGAATAGCTTTTATATAATCAAATTTTGGAGGTCATTTGATATGTTCAAGCTTATATAGATAAGGTGTATATATGTACTTGAATTTTGTGATACCGTACAGTGCTGTCTCGCTAGATCATGACTTACACAGGCATAGTTTGTTTCTTGTTTGTTTTAAATGTATTCACAGTGGTTGGTAAGTTTTTCAAAATTTCAAAGTACGTTTGTATTACTAAAAAATGAAATTTTCAATTATATACTATATTATATTATCAGTAATTTTTAGCATATCAAATATAAAAGTTTATACATTCAAATTTTTTAACTGAAATTTTTATAATAAAAAAAACATTCTATTCTCAGAAGGTTCAAGCATGTCCTAAGAATGGTTGACATTATACTTATAAAAAGAAAAAAAATATAATCAAAAACATCCTTTTCCATTTTTGACAGTCTTGTTGAGAATGTAAACACACTTACTTTTTTAATCATATTTGCTAAAATAAATGTAAGTCTTTCTGTATTTTCTATGGTTTACAGTGTCGGCGACAAATTCTACAAACTGTGTTGATGCCACGTTTATAAATTGCAATGATAGCCATGTCTGTCATGATGACAACTTAAAGACTTATTGCCCTTTAACATGTGGACTATGTAGTAAGTATTAACAACTGGACAATCAAATTGAGAGGTACACGTAGGTCTTTGTTTCACTAACATTGCCAGTTTTGATAAGTTGATGAAACAATAGTTGATATAAAACAAAAGATGTAGTATGATTGCCAACGAGACACCTCTCAACAAGAGACGTGACAACTCTCAACAAGAGACCAAATGACACAGAAATTAACAATTATAGGTCGCCGTACGGCCTTCAACAATGAGCAAAGCCCATACCGTATAGTCAGCTATAAAAGTTTGAAAACTGTTAAATAATGCAGATTTTTTTCGTATCTATTCATTTCTACAATTTTTTAACAAATGGACAACAAATGCGATGTTGATTATTGCGATTTCAGAAAATGTTGCATGAAAATAATGCTAAAAAATTGAAAATGTGATTTTTTAGTATGCGATTCCAATTCCATCACAATTTTCACAAAAAACAAAAAAAAAAACGGCGCAAAGTTTATAAAGTTTACCGTAATGAATTTGAATTATATACTTAAAGTATTTTTGTTGTTGTTTTTAACTGTTTGAACATATACGGTATTCTGTAATCAGTACATATTTTTTACGATGATTACTTAAAAAATAAAAATGTAACTTTGGCTGCTTAAATACCTACGAAATAGACTTCGAACAAAAGCAATAAAGTATTGTTACAGAATATAGAATAGCGCGCGAAAAAAAAATTAAAAAAAAAGAGAGAGAGTAAAAATGGACCAAAAATAAATAATAAAAACAATGGTCATTATGGGGGAAGGGGTAACATATAAAAAATAGAGAATAATGGGGAAAATAAAAAAAAGAGAAATATCAAAAAGATAAATGGTATAGAAAATTAATGAATTAAAACATGAAGAACCCCCCATCCAGACCCTCAGATATATTTTTATATCGTTTTAGAACCATGCAAGGACCAGGCTGTCTTCGCCTGCAGTAAGAATGTTTGCTCGTTTCCTTCATTGAAAAAGTTTTGTCCTGTGACGTGTTCATCTTGTGGAGAAGGAATTTGTGAGTATATATATATCGGCCAGGGAAGAACAAAAAAAAAAATACAGATCTTACATTGTTGGGCTGTTATTTAGACGAATTATGTATACAGAAAGTGTTTTCAGCCTTGTATCACCATCACTGGTGTTCCGATGGATAAAATCTGTCGTAGAGTTGTCACTGGTTCAGACGTACTTATAATTTACAGATCTAACATTGTTGGGCTGTTATTTAGACGAATTATATATATATATATATACAACAGTCTTATATATAATATGTTTTAAATTAAAAACCCGGAAAATAAAAAAAAATAAAACTATAACGTAACGACAATTTAAAGATTACTTAGATATATATATGCAACACTCCAAAACGTGTCCGATTCCCCCAAACGTGTCCATTCTTCCCAAACGTGTCCGTTATATTCAATATTGCACAAACGTGTCCGATTTCATAACCCCCAAACGTGTCCGATAATTGTTTTTCGCCAAAACGTGTCCACTGTTAAACACCAGAACGTCTCACGTCTTTTAGCGCTAATACATGTACAAATGACATAAATAACATTTACGGCAATTCTATGACGGGGGACACAGTTGATGAACACGGTGGTCATTTATTATCATTAGTTTGTTCAATGCCGGTTGTTAATGATTATCATAATTGCAAATTTAATCTGTAACATATGAATTAACTTTTGACTGAAATGCAAGTTGCAAGTATTGCATTCTGATTTAGAGCGAACATACAAATAATTTTAGTACAGTTGAATTAATCGTTTACCAAGTGAATTATTTTGTACTTATACATTCTGATGATGCCTTTTATATTAAATCGAATATTGCACGGCGGGCTTTCCGCAGAATTGACTTCCCTTTTTTCAACAGTTCTGGTATTTTAAAAACTCTTCAAATCAAAAGTTTACTGTTTATCAGGTTTTTTAATAAATTTTAGGTTTCGAGCATGATCACTAAAGACACACAAACAAGAGACATAACGTCCAGTGCCAAATATTGCATGCATTATTTGAACGACATCATGTTAACAATAAATACTGTACATAGGTTTTATTATCATACCGGGAATTTAGGATTAGGCCTAAATTTTTACGGTTATTCGGGACTAACACTAGTTGGGGTTTTAATCTAAAAAATTTAAGAGCCAGTAACAACCAATTTTTTTATGACTTCAGTAAGAAACTACTTCAATCTCCGTTATGTAAGAGGCCGTTTTAAATAAAAGTTGCGGAAATTTAAAAAAAAAAGAATGTTGCCTTCCAAAATACAACTGATGGCACCATGAAAGAGTGAATTGCTACACAGGTTTTAATGCGCAGAGAGAGTGACATTCTCCCTACACGAGGTATTTGATTTAATATCTACAAATTAACTGAGCATGGCTGCTTACGTTTACATCCAACATAGCCGAACATATTGGCACTTTTACCCAGATTATACTGCCGGTTAAAAAAAGACCTAAAGTAATTTATTTTTATTTTTTTAATGAAATAGTAAAATGAGTATACGTTAATGAAAAAGCAATAACCAAATAACCTACGAATTTATAATATGGACACGAATGATAGTTCCAGTAAAGGAAAAAAATTAAGCTTGATATGGACACGTTTGGGGGATTGGACACGTTTGGGGTATTGGGCACGTTTGGGTGTTTATACAAATGACACGCTTTGGCGCCTTTTTACATTAGGACATGTTTTGCAGTTCAGTGACGTCATGTGGACACGTTTGGGGGAATCGGACACGTTTGGGGGGAAGGACACGTTTCTGAGCAGTTGGAAAGCAAGTCCTTGGAAACGTCCGTTGTCGTCAAGCTCTATCAGCAACAATAGCAGGGGGAATTAATTAGGTGGCGCTACAGTCGTCCGTGACGTCAAAAAGTCCGCCAAATCAATCGGCTAAAAGATTGACGTTTAAAGTATTCATTTCAACTTGTCATGCTTTTATTATAATTGAATTTTAAAATTTGTAGGTTTTGCGACCAATATAGTTTCAATACGTCATACAAACATTATCAAAAGTAGCTTGTTATTGCTATTTCTTTATCCTGTCCGTTATTAAAAATTTCAGCCATCTTTTTTGTTCGCCAAAAACATCGATTTTTCATAACTTGACGTTTGCGTATCCAAATACGGAAAAGAACGGTAATAATCTTAAATGAAGCCGGGTAAACTATTTAAAATTTCTACACAATTTTGAAGCCATCATTTTTTACTATTATACATCAATTTTGGTGACCACCAGTCATGTCAATTTGTACCTGGTTTTGGCTGCGTTTCTACTTCAAAACAGTTAAGTTCAATTCTTTACATTGTACCTGTTTCCAAAGTACTCTAAAATACTGATTTTATTATAGATATGAATGAAATTATGATTAAAAATTGTTGTTTTTCACAATTCCATACGATACTTCCATTTTAAAGTAATTAAAACCCTTTTTAATATTCCCCTACACAAATTGACGGTGACATTGTTTTCTTTTTCAACATACGTCATATAACGTTTACAAAATATGTGTCAGGGTCATGTGCATAGTGAAAATTTACACATTGGACAAGTGAAACAACAAACAAAGTTCTTCTTTATGGCGTTTGAAACTATAGGTCTAAGAAATTTTCATTTATACTGGAAGCAAATATGACAAATTAATGATGGCCTATGGGTAAACAAAAGCACAAAAATAGCAATAGAAAATGCATTGCAAAGAAAATTTCTGGAGGAAAAAACATATGAAAAAAGGAAATGAAGGTCAATTAATTATATTTATATTTTATTAGTTAAAAACCTTGCTTATCAATTATCTCTTTACTAAGTAAGCTACATTAATAAGAGCAAACACTAGCTTATCAAGTCAAACAAGAAATTAATTCATAGAGATGTGTTCTTACAAAATTGAATTTAATCAAATGGCAATTTTTTGTCAACCATCATCATTGATCATTATTAAAGTAAAATGCACAAGATTTGTCATACCAACTTTCATTTCTGAGAATAATATCCAATTATTGAGGTAAAATATACAATACTTTGTTTATAAATATGTAAAGCAGCAGATACAGCAACTTGAAGAGAAGAAGCCCCATTTTTTTTCTCAAAAAGTTTACTTTCCTAAACTATAAAATACCCTGAGAAATTGGACAAGGGCTACTGTGCTAGCTAATCTAATAGTTGAATTTTACAATAATAATGATTTTAATATTAAAATTATGTCACTTTCACTTATAATTTTAAGCATTATTTTTTTACAGAATTTTTGTCATTTTTTTTGGTAAACTTTTCCTTTTTCTGTATGATATTTTCTAGGCAGTACTGTACTGTTCAACTAAGAAACATAGGCTTGAGTTAAAAGGCTTTTTTAATTTGAAGAAACTAAATTGTGACTCTTGTTCCCACTTTATTAAAATATAAAATATAAATGGTCAGTACTATTTTTTTTTTCAGAAAGATTTTTTAAATTGTATACAGTATGTTTTATTGCATTAAACATTGTTAGAAGTAGTTAGAAAAAATCCATTAGGAGTGATCCCATATCCCATTATAAAAATAACAAACTGAAAGTAAATTTCACCAGCCAGAGCTAATTTATATCAATTCAGCTAGGTTTCTAGATCTAATTTTTACCAATTGTTTGTCTTTTATTTTTTACCTGTAATCCTTCTCTGAAAAGTAGGGAAGTATCTCTTCTTAATATTATAATAACATAGTTGTTAATCGACTTTCTTTTATTTTCTTCTTGATTTTTGTAAAATAAACTCCTTTTTATTCATTTTGGTGGGTTTTTATTTTTGACTGGTGATATCAAGGGGAGATAACCATTGCACAAATCGGCAAAAAAAACCACCGCTTCATGTTGAACATAACTTGACGTTTGCGTATCCAAAACTGTATTGCCTAGATATTCATATCGAGTGTTTGTCTTAATGAGATGCTTTATTAAATTTAAATTCAGCCCATCATTTTTAGTTTCCTCGAAAATATTTAGATTTTTCGATCAGGAGCCTTGACAATTTTCACACGAACTTCAAGTTTGAAGATAAAATAAAGAATAAAGGACTTTGAGTTGATGTGTAAGTTTTGACGAGTTAAAACAATGTATATTCAAGATTATTTTGATCAATAATTTTTTTCCATGACAGTGGTATTTTAGTGAGTAAAAGTGAGGTTTGTCTCATCCGTAGTTTTACTGAATTTTCACGGTCACGTGACTCTATTGTTGCTGATAGACTTGGGGTCAAACCGTGACCTGCTTTCCAACTGTGAGTGTTACATATATTTTAAAAATTGTTTTCAGTAGTCTTCACTGTGAATTCCTTACAGAGACGAAGCAATTATATTCTAGATGTTAGCAATGATTTATTTGTTTATTGAGCAGTGTCTTTCATGATTTTGTTGATAAGCGTAAGCGTTTTCCTTTTAGTAGGATGCACGTACAAGAGTAAACACTATCAGCAAAGTGAACGCTGGGAAGATGGTTGTGATTATAAGTGTACGTGTTTAAACGCTGAACAGGGACTTTACCGTTGTACTGAAAGGTTGGTTTTACGAAATATTTAATCAACACAATACACCAATGTGCCTCAATTCAACGACATAAAGAAAAAAAAAACATACATCTATAGAGGTTGACATACCCCAGGAAAAGATTACCTAATTAGCTGTATTTGGCATAACCTTTCGGAATTTAAGGTCCTCATTGCTCTTCAACTTCGTACTTTATTTTTCCTTTTTAACTGTTTGAACTGAGCGTCACTGATGAGTCTTTTGTAGACGAAACGCGCGGCTGGTGTACAAATCTTAATTCAGGTATTTATGATGAGTTTATTTGCATTCTTCCAAAACAGACAGGTCAGAGGCGGACCCTGTCATTTTTAAAAGGGGGTGTTCCAATCATATGTCCCAATTCAAATGCATTGATCGTCAATAAAAAGGGGGTCGGAACCACCCCGGATTCGCCACTGCAGGTGTGCATGCATTTACATTATGTCAAAGTCTAATTCGTCCGGAGTATACAAAAGTTGCAAGTGAATAAATTATAAAGAAATAATCAAAGATAGGCCACCGGCACCAAATTCTCCAAGTAACAAACAAAGCTCATTAAGGATTTACTTAGTTGAAATTAAAAAAAATCTAGAATTTAAAATTGATACTATAAGCCAGAAGAGCATTAGTTAAGGAATAAGCTAAAAATATTGATAGGTTATGGAGCTCCTTTTCGAAATATCTAATTTATAAAAAAAAATGGCGGGGGAAGGCTGACTCGGAATTTTTACCTTATATTTGTATTTGTATTAGTTTTGTCTCAAATCGAAAGAAAAGAAATCTAGAATCGGCTTAAATTTTGGTTAATGAGCTTTTATGAGCTATTTAAGTCTTAAATGAAAAGAAACATGGGTGTTATGGGGCAAAATATTTTACCCTGTATCGTAGGATAAAACCCAAGGAGTCTGAACATTTGACAAAAATTCCTAAACCTGACCTAAGTACATCCTTAATATTCGACAAAAGACAAGCATCAACGAAGTTCCTGAAATGAATCAGGCACACAAAAACGCGGGGATAAAGATAGAGGCAACATTAGCTACTAGTTTACCAAAATTTTTTCGGAATTGTGGGTCTTCCATGTGTCTTCAATGCTTTTCAATTTCGTACTTTATTTGGCCTTTTCACTTTTTTTATTCGAGCGTCACTGATGAGTCTTTTGTAGACGAAACGCGTGTCTGACGTACCATATTTAAATCCTGGTATCTATAATGAGTTTATACCAATGTTATAATTTCGTTAATCAGTTTATTAAACTTTACTGAAAATAATTGTTTGTTTTTCAGTTATTATTTTTGTACAATGTGTTCTGGGGTTGTTCTGTTATACCACTGCCCTAGGTTGGGAGAAGATTGGACTCCCGCTCACATGTTTAAACCCGACACATGTTGTATATGTCTGTCCCAAGCCAGGAAGCTTTTACTCAGTGGTTGTCGTTTGTTAATCTATACACTATTTTTTTTCGTTTATTGTTTTGTACATAAATCAGGCCGTAAGTTTTCGTTTAAATTGATTTCATATCGGGGCCTTTTATAACGTGCAAAGCGATGTGGGTTTGCCCGTTAGAGAAGGCCGTACGGTGACCTATAGTTGCTTACTTCTACGTCATTTTTTTTGGTCTCTGGTGGAAAGTTATCTTATTGGCAAACATACCACACCTTCTTATTTTCATACAAAATTAGAAAAAACCAAACAAATGAAAAAATTGCTTGAACTGAGGGTAACTAAAGCCTCAACATGTATCAAAAATGTTTTCATGTATCTTATCGATAATGCAACGAAAATTCAGCAGAACATTTTTGCCGTTCTTCATACGGAAATCTTAAAAGTCTTAGCTATTACAACCAGACGCATCAAACATACTGTTAAGTTGGGGTAATAACACGAGCTCCAAAATTCATTTTTGAGCCCGGAGTCTGCGTATTATGAGGCTGGATCCCAATTCCCAGAGCTCAAAGTCCTATCAATGAAAATCGGAGTCCTATCATTGGAAACTGGAGCTGTCAACGTATATTTGTTCCGCCTAACAGAAGTTCCACTGGAAACTTTGTTATAAACAATGTCATAATATCTATTGTCCTATCATTGGAAACTGGAGCTGTCAACGTATATTTGTTCCGCCTAACAGAAGTTCCACTGGAAACTTTGTTATAAACAATGTCATAATATCTATTCCTGTTGGATCAAATATTCTATACCATTTATTCCGTTAGGAACATATACTCTGATATTTATTCCTGTGGAAATAATATTCCAGAATATTTTTTCTTTTTGGAACTTATATTATGAAGGAACTTCTATTCCGTGACAGAGCCCTATCAGTTGAATCACAGAAACAAAAACATCTGGAGCCCTTGTTTTGGAGTCTGGAGCAAAAAAAATAAGGAATTAATATGGGTATCAGAGCCAGTGTTATCCACCAATTTAGTTGATGATAAGGAAACTGCCTTTATCTAACAACGTTTACACGTTTTAGTCATTCTTCATTTCTACGAATTGTTCTAAAATGCCTTTCTGGAACACATAGGAGTACCTCATTTCGGCGGGGTTCGTGTTGCGTAGTTTTTTGGTTTCTTAGTAGTGTTCTGTAGACTGTTGGTTGTCTTTCCGCCATTTTGTTTTGTTTAGGCCATGGTATTGTCTGTTTTCTTCGACTTATGGTTACGTTCCCTTTGTATCTTCTATTCTGAGACTTTTTTATGTTGAAAATTAGTAATTTCATAGTTTCTACACCATACCCAATCCTTCCAGAATCGTTGCAGTTGAACATACGTTTTTGTTTTTATATACAACAGGTGTGTACACTACCAGAATGTTCCAACAACGTGTAGACTTGTGCAAGACCCTAATGACCAATGCTGCAAGGTACCAAAATGTGACGTCCAAGTTGTACACCAGAACACCACAGTAAACACTACAGGTGAACAATATATACGTATATTGTGACAATTTCATATTACTTCAAATCTTGCAAAAGGCTTCATTGTCAGGCAAATTAGTTTGATTTATTTAAGGAATGACTAAATATTTGTCTTTCTATGAAGAAATAATATAAACAATGTGGTGCAATCTACTATTAAAATTTTTGCTCCATGCCTTAGCCAAGAGCCTATGTGCGTACTGAAAAGTAGCAGAGTAAAGACCCCTGGCTTGACATCACACCAATCCAATTGGATCTATGGTTCCAAATAAATGCGTGAGGCTATCAGGAAGCATATGAGGCTATCAGGAAGCCTATGAGGCTATCAGAAAGCCTATGAGGTTATGTCTGAGGAAGCCTATGAGGCTATGAGGAAACCTATAATGATGCTATGAGGAAGCCTAGTATGTGGCTATGAGGAAGCCAAGTAGTGTTGATGTTGAATTGGTGTTGGAAAGAATTTGTATGAAATTTGACAGTTTATCCCCAGAAATTCTTGGGGGATGAGTGAAATTTTTGAAACAACCAGTGATAAAATTTCATAAATGTCCAAACATGATGGACTTGTTTCAGATGCCGAGGTTATTTATCTGGGTGCACACTGAATAACTCGCGTAAAATGTGCACAGCATTTTTGAGTTTATTTCGAATAGACAGAAAAATATTACAGTCAGTCCTTATGATTTAATTCTAATTTCCATTTTGAAGGAGTAAATCACGAAAAAACGTTGACGACGACAAAATTATGTATATGAGCTGATAAACTTTCAACTAATCAGAAGACTAGTTACATCCAAAATTAAATTATATCATAATATATATTCTTGATAGTGATTGGTTAATAACTACATTTAATGTCTATTTCGCATATTCTCTTTAATCAGACAAATTATGTATTGAAACGTAATATTCTTTCTATAAAAAGATAGAAGGTAAGCTTGTATTATTCCTGGTACTGCACACAGAGTCTTGAAAAAGACAAAGTTATCAATCAGTAAACATGATTATCCTGATTAAGAGTAATTTCTCGCAATTTGATTGGCTGATATTATCCTAATAAATTTCAGTGCAATTTTTTTATTAAGTCATCATCATCATCATCATGAAATCAGGATAATATTGTCCTACTACGTGAATTTATCGGGTCAATAAAATTCATATCGGGTTCGGCTTTGCCTCAACCGATATGAATTTTATTGACCCGATACATTCACGTATTAGGAAATTTGCACACTGAGTAACTAATATGATCTTGTCACTTTAAAAGTTGACATACACTAGAAGGATTATTATAAGAATATTGATGAATTTTATCTTTCGTAGAAAGTGGAGTGAACTCGAAAGGTCGTACAATATGATAGTCCGCTCGATAAAAAAAAACATACTAAGTGCAAAACTCTATATTGCTCTGTTCTGTATTCCAATTTTTCTTCTCAAAGGTTGCTTATACAAGGGACAAGTTTATTCACAAGGTCAGAAATGGTCTGACGGATGCGACTACAATTGTGAATGCTTGGAAGCAACAACTGGACATTATCGATGTCAGGATAAGTAAGATGTTCTAACTTTTTGTTTTATATTACATGGTATCTATGTTTTAAAAATAGTTTTGACAAACTTTCATTATTTGATGCGTCCACACTATTGAGTGTCCTTTGGGTTCCTTTCAGTTGTTTGTGTCGTAGGAATTGACTGATTGATTGTTGGTGTTTAACACCCAGTTTCAGTACTATTGGCTATACTATGGGGGTCAGTTTCTTTTGTTGGAGGAAGCCGGAGTGCCCAAAGAAAACCACCGAACTTCGGTAAGAAAACTGGCAATCCTAGTCAATTAAAATTGGTGTCGAGCGCACCTGCCACGTGCGGGATTCGAACTCACAACCTCTGTCATAACAGGCTAGTGATACAGTTTCTAGACTTCTTACACGAGAATTGAAGATGTATAACTACAGACATTATAAAAAGTAATCTATAATAAAAAAAAATGGTTTGAAAGCGCAGTCATATGATAGAAAACAGTTTAACGCTAAATTTGATAAGACAATCACTAAACAGTTAATGATGTTATATATAACTGCATCATACTTACAACTCGAATAACATGCACAGCAGTACAATTGGTTAATGTAAATATGTTATATCGTCTTCGTAGACAATATATTTGTATGTTTCTGTTGTAGATGTCCAACATACACTCAAGTACCTCAGAATTGTCCTTTGGTGAAAACACCAGACGGATGTTGCTATAAGCCAAACTGTTAGGATATAGACGTGTCAAGTAAAAACATACAGCAACAAGACCGTACCTGTTATGTGTAATGATTTTAGTAGACACAGATTATTTGTTAACATAATACATGTTCTAAATTAAAACTGCAACCATTGACTGCTTTATTATAATATACAAAGTAATAGCATACTGAAATTGCTATACTTAATTTTCTAATTCAATCTCAAAGAGATCGAGCAACTCGTTTTAGCCCACCTGGCGCTAGGTGCTAGTGTACGCATTTGCAATAACCTAGCGTCCAACAATTGTCGTCCGTCCTTTGTCATGCATTACAATGCTCGATATATATTATACATAAAAGTAGCATACGAAAATTGATAGAAAGCAACACCTTTTTGTTCACATTCGTCACAAGTTGTTCCTTGCAATACAATCTTTTCGTTGTTGGTTTTTGTTTCATAAACAGAGACTCAATTTGTCCGTCATCTTTAGTATTAGATGGAGATACATTTAGTTCGTTGGATTAGTCTTCTGTTTACATTTTCCTTCATCACGGTTTTTCCATCGCACTTGCGCTGGGCGGTTGCCAAAGTACTAACAAAAAGTCTCGTGGTTAGGGTTACTGCATATGAGAAGGCTATCGACGAACTAGAGTACGGGAAGACAATAATTCAATGTTGGTCATGAAATGCTTGTAGTCTGTAGTTTGTTTATATTACCCCGTTACAAAACCAATTGGGTTGGCGCTAGAAGCATGCTTTAATTCCCTGGTGTTCAAATTTTGAATAAAACCCAGTAATAAAAGCTACTTTCCGTACCGTGAAAGTTGTGAAGTTGAAATTTCCTGTCATGTTCAGCACACCGCACCCCTTAATTCTTATTCAAATAATATAAGAGAAACACATTACTAATCATAGTACACAACGTACACAAATACTACAAGTGTCTATTGTAATCTATTTTAAATCGAAGTTACGATATTTGTCTGAAGTATTTGTATGTACATGCATTTTAGACATCTATATTGTTTTGCTGCTAAATCATCTGCAGAATTTATTACTTGACACCTAAGCCTCCATCGATTATAATAGCTTCAGTAATCATAGAAGACTTTTCGCTAAGTAAAAATACTGCAGTATTAACTACATTTTCTATTTCTGCATTGCATAAAAATAGTCCATTGTGCAAGTATATTAATTACAGTGAGTATGTTGAGCAAGTATATTACAGTGAGTATGCACATTTCGAAAAATGTATAATATACGACAATACCAAACTATTCACATATTGTTTGGAAAAAATAAAAACCTACTGTTTTAGATACAATTAGTCACAAACCAATTTTTGGCCTTATGGATTTATTTAAGCGTGCCAGAACTTTAAACTGCACATGTGAATCTGTGCTACTTTGATTATTTGATAACGACCTGAGAACTTACGCATAAGACATAAACGTCTGGGCAAAATGTTCAACAATATAATAAAGAAAACAAACAATCTTTTTTTTTTGCTTAAACCATTAGTCGAAAAACAAATATGACGGATGCAAACCAACGATAACAACTGGTCTACTGGCTCATGACTTTGGAAAGGCACAGAATGAATGTACCGGATCGCATATGAAAATAAGGAAATTTGGTATGATTGCCAATAAAACAACTATCTACCAGGGTTCAAATGACGTGGTATTAAGCAATTATAGGTCACTGTACGGCCTTCAACAATATGAAAACCTATACTGTACAGTCAGTTATAAAAGGCTCCGACATAAAAATGTGAAATGTATAAATTCCCCTAACCATGGACAGTTGTGCCATAGCACAACATTAGAACAAACTGTAAAAACAGTTGGACATTATATCGGCATGAAAACGCAAGACAAGAGACACAGCAAACCGACATAAGAGTACTGGAAGTTACTGAAAGCTAGTCCGATCTAATGCCAATGTTGTTACTAATAAATAAATCATGTTTCCCAGACCAAAATCGCTTTCAGTACACATCCAACGCGTTTAGTTTTAGGCGTCATAAGGTGTCTGAGAAGAGCACGACCTTGTGCTATGCCACAATAAGTATCGACAGGTAAAATAAGGCAGGCTTCAGCTGGCCCCTTAATAAACATGTGTACTAGTTCAGACAAATGGACGTCACACTAAACTCCGAAACAAACAGTGTATAGATGAACCAAAATAAAAAAAAAAAATACAAAACTAACAAAGGCCAGAGGTTCCCGACTTATGACCGGGGCAAAAGTGCAGCAGGGTTAAACATGTTTTGTGAGATCTCAACCCTCCCCCTATACCTCTAGCCAATATAGAATAAACAAACAAATAGCAATACGCACAGTAAAACTCAGTTGAAAAACATCTAACAAAAACAGAGACCGGACGTGGCAGGTAATTCATACATCCCCACAACAACAAAATACAATTAAGTACAGATCTGAGTGTACTCATTTTGTCTGTTACTGACAGCTAGTTCAAAGCCAATAACAACTAATAAAAAAAAATCATTCATCTTATACTAAAATATCAATCAGTAAGCATCCAACATCCATTGGATTTAGTGTAAAGACGTCATCAACAGTCAGAGAAAAAACATGACCTTGTGCAATGCCAAGAAATAGATATCGACATTTTGTAGAGACATGAATGTGCATATGTATGTAAAAATAATATTAAGTTGTTTATAATTTACTGACAACAAAATCAATATTTGTACCAATAAAATCAAAATTCAAAGATCTAATTACAGAGTTGAATTGATAACCTTTAGAATAAAAAAAAAATATGTTTATTTAAAGGATCGACAAGTTTACCCGGATCGTATCTAAATTTCCAGGCTCGGTAAACATGGTAAACAACATCTCCGTAAAAATTACACATTCCCCGGTTCCATTCTCAATTCTTTAATCAAGCGATGGAGAAAGACAGACAGCAACATAACCATCAGTATAGCATAGGTAGTGTCTTTGTACTTTACCTTGGTATTCATATTTTGTTAGTAATTGTAAGAGCTCGTTTTAACTTTAACTTTTAGCCAAAGGTTAAAGTTCATAGCAAAGACTATGAGCCTGTAATTCAACAATTCGTTTGTTGCTCTATATCATATTTGTTTTTCGTTCATTATTTTGTGCATAAATCAGGCTTTTTGTTTTCTCGCTTGAGTTGTTTTACATTTGTCATTTCGGGGCCTTTTATAGCTGACTATGCGGTATGGGTTTTGCTCATTGTAAAAGGACGCACGGTGACATAAAGTCGTTAATTTCGGTGTCATTTTGGTCTCTTGTGGAGAGTTGTCTTATTGGGAATAATACCCCACCTTTTTATATTTATATGACAATAACATATTTAAATAAATGATCTTTATTCTAATGTGTTCTATTCTAAATTATTTTGCAAGTATTATAATTGTAAACAGTTTTGCTCCGAGCGTATACACGTTATTGCGATTCTAAAAAAGGATACTGTGAGTATTTTTCTAATTGTGAAGGATTGCTTATCTTTCCGGGGTATCTCATAGTATGTGTCTAATTGTGAAGGATTTGAATACCCTTCCGGGATATCTCAGTGTATGTGTCTAATTGGGAAGGATTTGATTACCCTTCTGGAGTATTTCAGTGTTTGTGTCTAATTTTGAAGGATCTGCTTACCTTTCCGGGGTATCTCAGTGCATGTGTCTAATTGTGAAGGATCTGCTTACCTTTCCGGGGTATCTCAGTGTATGTGTCTAATTGGGAAGGATCTGATTACCTTTCCGGGGTATCTCAGTGTATGTGTCTAATTGTGAAACATTGCTTACCTTTCCGGGATATCTCAGTGTATGTGTCTAATTGTGAAGGATCTGCTTACCTTTCCGGGGGTATCTCAGTGTATGTGTCCAATTGTGAAGGATCTGCTTACCTTTCCCGGGTATCTCAGTGTATGTGTCTAATTGTGAAGGATCTGCTTACCTTTCCGGGGGTATCTCAGTGTAAGTGTCTCATTGTGAAGGATCTGCTTACCTTTCCGGGGGTATCTCAGTGTATGTGTCTAATTGTGAAGAATCTGCTTACCTTTCCGGGGTATCTCAGTGTATGTGTCTAATTGTGAAGGATCTGCTTACCTTTCCGGGGTATCTAAGTGTAAGTGTCTCATTGTGAAGGATCTGTTTACCTTTCCGGGGGTATCTCAGTGTATGTGTCTAATTGCGAAGGATCTGCTTACCTTTCCGGGGTATCTCAGTGTATGCGTCTAATTGCGAAGGATCTGCTTACCTTTCCAGGGTATCTCAGTGTATGTGTCTAATTGTGAAGGATCTGCTTTCCTTTCAGGGGTATCTCAGTGTATGTGTCTAATTGTGAAGGATCTGCTTACCTTTCAGGGGTATCTCAGTGTATGTGTCTAATTGTGAAGGATCTGCTTACCCTTTCAGGGTATCTCAGTGTATGTGTCTAATTGTAAAGGATCTGCTTACCTTTCCGGGGTATCTCAGGGTATGCGTCTAATTGCAAAGGATCTGCTTACCTTTCCGGGGTATCTCAGTGTATGCGTCTAATTGCGAAGGATCTGCTTACCTTTCCAGGGTATCTCAGTGTATGCGTCTAATTGCGAAGGATCTGCTTACCTTTCCGGGGTATCTCAGTGTATGCGTCTAATTGCGAAAGATCTGCTTACCTTTCCGGGGTATCTCAGTGTATGCGTCTAATTGCGAAGGATCTGCTTACCTTTCAGGGGTATCTCAGTGTATGCGTCTAATTGTGAAGGATCTGCTTACCTTTCAGGGGTATCTCAGTGTATGTGTCTAATTGTGAAGGATCTGCTTACCCTTTCAGGGTATCTCAGTGTATGTGTCTAATTGTGAAGGATCTGCTTATCCTACCGGGGTATCTCAGTGTATGTGTCTAATTGTGAAGGATCTGCTTATCCTCTCAGGGTATCTCAGTGTATGTGTCTAATTATGAAGGATCTGCTTATCCTCTCAGGGTATCTCAATGTATGTGTCTAATTGTGAACGATCTGCTTATCCTACTGGGGTATCTCAGTGTATGTGTCAAATTGTGAAGGATCTGCTTTCTTTTCCGGGGTATCTCAGTGTATGTGTCTCATTGTGAAGGATCTGCTTACCCTTTCGGTTATCTCAGTTCACTTTCAGTTTTTAGTGCGATTCGGGTT